ATTTATAGGCAGAGATTGAACTATAACAATATAAATATGACAAAGGCTGAAAATGCTTATAGTTTCTGTGTTATAATTTTATAAATGTTAATGATACAATGTCCTCATTATGTTTTTTAGACTCGTAATAGATTTCTTTAAATGTCATAAAAATAATTGATGCTTTCTGATATATTATTGATAGTTATTATATGCAATATGGTTTGTTTTGCGAAAATTAACTTTCTTCAAAAAATATTTCTTATGTTTGTAAATATGTAATTTAATGAAAAAATTATATTCTACGATGTGGTTGAAAAAACTTAGCCCTACACATACAGTGAACCACAAAAGTGTTCGTACACTTGCGATTTCCAATAAAATTTAATGTTTTCGACTAGTAAAAATTAATATATCGGAATCGTAATTTTTTTATGATATCTGCAACTTATTCTTAATGGAATGACATAACCAATTTTTTAAAAATCGTATAACTATTTTTTTTTAAAAAATTAATGATTACAAAAAGTTACTACAAATTACGCCACAAAAGTCTTCGTACACTTAACAAAAACCTTAACATAGCTTTGAATATTGTATTTCTTTCTTAATTTGGTACTTAGTAGGATATCTTTTAGTATCCACAACAACTTTTGAATGTCTTGGTATAGATTTAATCAGCTTTTTTTGTAAATTATGCATCGATTTTCCTCCATGTTTCTGTGATTATTGTTTTTGCTTACCATTGTGTTTATATGTCATGTTTTCATTTTTACTTCAAAATCTCACCAGATATGTTCTACTGGGCTAAATAAAGTGATTGAGAGGTGTTTTAAGAATTTGGAAACAGTTATAGAGGCACCAGTGGCGTATATTGAGAGTAGTGCGCTTGGCGTCATTATCCTGTTAAAAAATGAAGTCTCGTCTCCAATATCCAAATTTTGGGCAGATAATTTAAAATTTCTCTTTAAAATATTTAAATAGAGCTCATGTTTCATAATACCATCAAAAAATAACAAATTACCGAATTCTAAAGCCGATTTACACCCCCACGCAGGAACACTTCCACCTCCTTGGTTCATTGATCCAACTAGATTCTTGGGATTAAGTTTCAGAAAATTCAAAATTGACAGCAAATTAATTGAGATGACAGAAAATTCAACATGTTTGGTTCCGATGGGTGCATAATAGTTTTTAAATGATAAAATGAGGAATTTTATCCCATGAATTTTTGTGTGGAACAAGAACTCCTCCATCTCTATTCTTAACCATGGAGGCAGAGATGTTCTTGCTTGGGGATGTAAATCGGCTTTAGAATTCGGTAATTTGTTATTTTTTGATGGTATTATGAAACATGAGCTCTATTTAAATATTTTAAAGAGAAATTTTAAATTATCCGCCCAAAATTTGGATATTGGAGAAGACTTCATTTTTTAACAGGATAATGACGCCAAGCGCACTACTCTCAATATACGCCACTGGTGCCTCTATAACTGTTTCCAAATTCTTAAAACACCTCTCAATCACTTTATTTAGCCCAGTAGAACATATCTGGTGAGATTTTGAAGTAAAAAAAAGAAAACATGACATATATAAACACAATGGGAAGTAAAAACAATAATCACAGAAGCATGGAGGAAAATCGATGCAGAATTTACAAAAAAAAAGCTGATTAAATCTATACCAAGACATTCAAAAGTTGTTGTGGATACTAAAAGATATCCTACTAAGTACCAAATTAAGAAAGAAATACAATATTCAAAGCTATGTTGAGATTTTTGTTAAGTATACGAAGACTTTTGTTGCGTGATTTTTAGTAGCTTTTTGATTACTAATTTTTTAAAAAAATATTTATACAATTTTTTTAAAAATGATTATGCCATTCTATTAAAAATAAGTTGCAGGTATCATAAAAAAATTACAATTACGATACATTAATTTTTACTAGTCGAAAACATTAAATTTTATTGGAAATTGCATGCGTACGAACACTTTTGTGGCCCACTGTATAAATAAGCAAAATAAATTTCTTTAAAATACATCCCAAAAAAGGATATAATTATGTTCCATTGTAAAAGTGGAAGTGTTACACCTCCTGGGGTGAAATAGAGCGATAACACTTCCTTTCGAATCCTTTCCTTGATTCCTTTTTCTAGTCATTTCGCTCTTATTGCATTTGCCAAATTTTGTCTCTCTGTAATTTAGAGAGGAGTTGGCACAGCGTAGACAAACATAGCTCTTGAGCCAATGACCCCGACCGACCAACTGTAGAATGCTAATTCGAATCATTCATACAAATCTCATCCTTTTTAACATTTGTAATCGAATTAAAACCGATTTGTGGTAATATAGTGGGTACAAAGTAAAAATACAGTTATTAAATTCACTTAAATGATGCCGAAAATTCTTTCTTTAAAAGCTGACAAGTTTCATTATAAATAATCTACATGCTGTCGAAAACTCGAAATGGATGGGAAAAAAACAATAAAAAGTAATGTGTTTTAAGACTAAAGTAAAAAATACTTTTTCAAGGAAAAGAAAAGTAATTGGTTTGGAAAAACGGGAAATGTAAAAGGAAATAATTCACTTTATTTTCCGTTTATTTCCATCTTTTTCTTCAACTTTTGTTTCGAATACCGTCTATATTTTCACTCGTCTAGTGCCCAAATTGGATCACATTATTTCAATAAAATATTTTTGGGCTTTAAAACGTCAGAATTGTATTTGAAAAACTATTATTAACTCAATTTCAGCCTTTTCAATTTTTTCAGAGTAACCTAAAGATGCTTGATGTATCCTTTCAACGGGTCATGATAGAAAGTTTTTTATTTAATAGATTGCAGGTGTAGAAATTTTCATTTAACAATTTAAGCTTTAAAAAACCTGGTGAGCGAAATGTGATTTTTCTGTCTTGTTTCTTGCAGTGTGATCTCAGAGCTAAAAACAATGCTATTCTTTCTTTATTTTTTTTAAAAATTAATAGAAAAAGGATTCGGGCGTAATGGCAGTTTAGCAGTTTCAAACTAGAAGGGATCCTCTCCTCAAACTATAATATTCTGGAACTATAGATGATAATTTGGGAACATCTAATAGTGTATCTTCGGTTTGCACTTTAGATATTCTTCAAGGTAGAAGCAGGGGCAGCATAACCCTAGTGGTCAAGGTCACACCCTCGTGGCTGGCATGTAATGAGTTCCAACCTTATACCTCTGAACACCCAATGTACGAAAGTGTCTGATGCACGTTAAATATGTCTACACTCAAACATATTCTGGTTGTTGTGATGTGAAAATTAAAAGAAGGGATGACAGAGCAGGTGTCGTCTTCGTCACTTGACCATGGTTCAAAATAATGAGGCTCGTTTCCGATAGTCTTCGTACAGCTAATATTGCGACCTTTTTTTATACTCTAACTCAATGTAGAAGCAATTATTAGTGCATTTGGTAGTATAGCTCTCGATCGAAACGTCGCAGGATTACGATTCTTAAATCACCAAAGAGTCATAATTTTTTATGCTGTTCTTGTTTAGACCAATCAGCAAATTTTAGATGAAATTTCAGAAAGTGTCAACTTTCAATTGTGCAATTCAGAAATTTATCAATCAAAACTGCATTGTTTTCACCCGAGAAACAAGCATTCAACTCTCTTTTAAAATAAAAAAAAATATGGGGAACTATGAAAGTATGGTCTTGTAAACAATTTTTATTTTTACAATTAGTTAGTGATGAGTTATTTATTTATTTTCATTTTTCTGGCATTTTACCCACCACTAAAAGGTTTCTACTATACCAGACAAAGATGCAAAACATATAAAATCACATGATTCCATATCCTAACTTGGAATCATGAACCTCTAGTGGTTATGGTCACGAACTTATAGCCGTATTGTCGCGGGTTCGAGTCCTGCCCCACTGAAGACCTGTCGTGCAAAGGGGAACGATGCATTTTAAATCTTTTCAGGCTCAGTGTCCTCACGTTGGCTTGGCCTCATCTCCTTACTGGAGATAAGGGCCAGTTTAGGTGTGGTCCTCGTTACCTGACAAAGATTTAAACTGACGAGGTGTGTTACCCATATACTTGATATTACTTTATAATTCGACGTTTCTCACTCCACCCTGGCCTATCTGCCCTACTAATAGAATCTGTTGCATAGCCCTCTGTCTTGTCCTGGTATCTGAAAACTTTGAAAGCAATTTTTTAGTAGAAATATGTTAAAAAATGAACGTTAGTTTCAACACTAGTCAATCATTCTATTTTATTAAAATAGCTATTACAGAAAAAATATCATTCTTAATTCCTGTAAATGTCAGCAAAGATTGAGAAAAACGCTATGCATTTGTGATACAGTCTATAATTAAATTAGACATGTACATAGAACTTCCAGATCCAAAATTATATTCTGGGCTCAAGTACGTATAAATTTTATCAACACTACTGAAAATCTAGATCTAATGTGTTGTGTGCTAACTTGCAAAATTTCCTTAGAAGTTATTAAAAATGCTCGCTAATTACGAAAAAAACGAGATCAACTTAAGCTACAAGCGATTTTTTTTTTCTATTTAAAAATTTGTTCTCTAACCCTGACGTGTTATTGAAACAATTTCAAAGCGACACGAGCGGCCATAATTGACGAGTATCAATGGTCACGAACTCGTTGCCAGAGTTATTAAGTCTTACATTCGAATCCTTGTGCTACTGATCAGCAGTGTTAAATGGGGTGGGGGGGGTAATGCGTGTTAAGTCTCCTGAGGCTCAAAGTCTTTTCATAGGTGTAGTGTGCAAGTTTGGAAATGGGTGCCAGTTTAGGTGTTGTCCTCGTCCCTCGACCGTGACTCAAAATTAGAATGTCCATCGCCGATAGCCTTAGTGTTGTTTTACAGTGTGTGGTGTGGAAATTTAGAAAGGGGGATTCTAAAAAAGTTTTTTTTCCTCACTTGACCGAGAGGGTAAAGGCATCACAAAAGGGATTGAAGTCAGTTGCCAGTAAAGAGCTTTAGAGTTCAAAATTAAAATCAAATGCCGCCCCACTCAGTATGGTGATTATGACACTCGGCTTGTAATCGAGCGGGTTCGGGTTCGAATCCCGAGTAAGACATGGATGTATCTCCGAGAAAAGAAGTCGGACTTTCGCCTGGAAAGGATTTTCGTTTTGAATGGAAAGCAGCGCAACCCTTTTTGTTCTATGCTGGGATCATCGTTTGTGTAATAAAGTCTATATTCTTCTGTGTTTGTACTGTATGTTTGTGTTTATCTATCTCCCGTCTTTTATATGTTTCCCAGGATGAAACACACGACTACAACAACAACATTAAAATCAAATGAATCAGGTATAAGCAATCCATATTAATTGAATTTATAAATAGCAATACTTTTTCTTAATTTAAAAGTTTAGCTTAAGATCCATAAAATGAAACTGTACATACAATATCTTCTAAATTAATACATGTTATTAACATTTCATTAGTTGAAGAAATCACCGAATTTCTGCTTTTTATAAAATGTGAAATGATTCGAAAAATAAATGGAATTCACAAGACAAAAAGATGCTCATCATAAATAGCCAAGGAGCTCTTCATTTATTTTAAATTTCCAGATTCAAAAGTTCTCCCCTTTTGTAATGTACTTAAAATAAGCAAAATTGGAAAAATAATCCCAGGTAATAATTACGAGAAGATTCCTCATCCAGAGTGTGAAGAGATCTTCAAATTTCCAAACCCTTTTTCGCATTTCACTCAGAAATAGTACACCTAGTTTTCCTCATTTATTTCCATTGAATCGTTATTTATAAATGATAGTTATGAGGTGGTAATTATTCAACACCTTGTCAAATCGATGCTCAAATCCAGCAGATGGATATAAATGGATGGACTGAGTTGCCATAGAAACGGAAAAGAAAAATGCGAACCTTTAGCTGTCTCAGATGTTAATATTAACTGGCGCTCATTGTAGAATCAGGTAGCGATGTAATGAAACGATTAGTAAGGAAAGTTTTACACTTGCGTATGGAAAAAAAGACTTTGAACAGTCTTTTGAGGTACTTTGTTCATGCATGTCCCGTACAATTCGGGGTATGAGGTCCACCTTTAATTTCAGGCAGCAATTTTCAATTGGGAGATAGATTCATTGTATAACGCTCATCCCCTTTGGGGCGAAGAAACCTCAAATGTGCATGCGCAATGCTCTTGTGTTTTAAAGTCATTTATATTCGAGTTTTTATTACAATCTTTTGAAAAAAAGTAGCACACTTCTAGAACTACAACCCTTTGAGTTCATAAGGAATGGTATTTTTTTTAAACAAACAGTATTTAGATATTTGCAGAAGTCTAATTTTTTTCTATGCTCATCTTTCCTATTATTTTTAAAGTTTTCCTTTTTATGTCCGAAGTATAACGTGCACCCGTAAATTTCGAGTTTATTTTTTGTTTTGAAAGTGCGCGTTATTCACCGGATTTTAAGGAATGTAATTTCAATATAATGTGTTCAAAGTAATGAAATTATTTATTATATACAGTTTCTTGTCAGGGAAGTTGAACATCGCACTCGATACGATCGAGCGGGGATATTGAGTCACCCCAATCTTTTTTTTTTAATAATTTTTTCTTATACACGATACAAATCGTGATTCCAGTGAATAATTGAATTAAGAGAAAGTTTACTTTCCTACTTTGAAGGACTGTGTGTCCCGCGTGATCACTTCCGGGTAAAAAGGATATTCTCATTATGATAATATGTAGGTTACTGCTAAAAGAATTGTGTAAAACGTTTTTCGTTGTGATTTATATGTATGAGAATACTCATAACAATAAGTCTTGGCCAAGTAATCCTTCAAAGTGCTCTCCGTGGTTTTCCAAATATTATAAAACTCTTTTGTATGGAAAAAAGCGCAACAGAGAAGTACATTACTTACAACTTCCCTAAATGAAAAACAAACATACAAGAAATGAGTCATAACTAACTGTACGAATAACTTAGAAGGTCAAACAGATTCCAGATATAATGTGCAGTACTTTAAAAATAATGAAAGAGAGGAGTTTTTTATGTTTCTAAATTTTTTCGATTCTGGGTCTGGGATCAGTTTTTTCTCTGAAAGAGTAGTATGTTAGATTTTAAAAAAAGCGTAATAAAAAAAACCTGTCATCATGGGATTACAGCAATTCAAATAAAAGTTCTTTTATTTGGTTATAGGATCAAAGATACCTAATTAGGTATTGAAGAAGTTTTTATTTTTGACGTCTTAATATCGCGCGCATGCCCCTATAAATTATATCAGAGTAAAAGTTCATTTTTTATTATGTGTGTCTGAAAGTATTTTATTTTAATTCATTCCAGTAAATGAATTATTTTTTAAATCTTTTATTTTCGATATGCTCGTGCCCAGCAGGGGGGGCACCCCATAGTTTGAGAAACACTGGACTAGCATAATCACTTCCCAATAGGTCATACGCTTACGTTACACTTCTGCTATTTAAAAGGTTTCTAATTTCCATATTCACGATTTGCTTCTGGATTTGGCTGAAAAAATTTGCCTTTTTCGGCCCTAAAGGACACAAGAGGAGTTTTCAGTCGAAAACGCGATGAGCCCGTCACAAACCCCTCCAAGGAGAAAAACGTGATTTATTCGAGGATCTTAAAGGTCCTTAAGAAATTACGTGCCTAAATTTTATTCGTCTTAGTTTTAACTTTCAATAATCCTCTGAAAATTTAACTTTAAACATTCCTCTGAAATTTTAACTTTCAATATTTGTCTTTAATTCTAACTCTCAACATTCGCAATTATTTTACTCAAATAATTATACCGAGATTATTATTTATGTTTTTACTCAACTCAGATTTACTTTTACATATTTATTTAGGTGTATCCCATTCGGGTAACAGGTCCGGGGAAAAAAACACAGAGCTTCTGGTTAAAAAAACCAGGACCATACACAATCATTAAATGACAACTATTTTCCATATATACCTCTCATCTGGTTTTCTAAATAAAATTCCCCTCTAATCGCGCAGCGTAGTTAGTGTTATTGTTAATAATCTGTGTACGCCGCGTTCCCAAAACCAGATGCACATTAATGTGAATCAATACAACAATATATATACATTATACTATAACAAACATTTTTTCAATAATCACTTAAAACTAGTTCTCAAACTTTCTATACTCGCGACCCAATTTTCACCCATAATTTTCATAGCGCCCCCCTTACATACAATATTAATGTATAGAATTCAATAATAATATAATTTGAGGTAAATCTACAATACGATTTTATTTATAAACCATACAATTTATCAAGATAAGCATTAAATTTGTATATAATTTGATGACATGCCCATAGAATCACTGGTAATTATTAAACTTGTTCTTGACTTAGTAATTATGAAATACATGGTGCAGTTCTGATACATTTATAAGTGTATTATATCAGTGTAAATGTGTATTTTATTTTTTATTATGTCAGAAAGCATTATTTTTTCTGCTTCCTTTCAGTAAATTAATAATTTGTTTAAATAATGTTTGCTTTCGACTTTTCGATGTATTCGCGACCCCTTGCAGAGTTATCTTGCCCCCTAGGGAGTCGCGCCGCACAGTTTGAGGAACACTGTTCCAATTATTAATTGGGCTTTCTTCTGTTTCATATTACTCAGTGTCCATGTAATTTTCATTACATTCTGAGGTGACCTTACAGTGAAATGTGCCTAATATTCCGGATAAAGCCTGGTTTTGCATTTTCCTGGTTCTTTAATTTTCAGTATGTTTGAAATTTCCGTAGACAAGATAAAAGTAGTTGTACTACACTTTAATCCAATTCCTTCATGCTAATTAAATTTTAGTTCAGGTTGCCACGGCCTGAAGGTTGTGGATGTAACAGGGTTCGAGGAGGAAGCAGACATGAGACATTATCTTAAAAAAATAGTTATTTTATTCTATCTTTAACACTTAATGAAACATACAATTTTGTAGCTTAACTCAGGGAGCAACTTGAAATCCTAACTTATTACTGGATTCACTGGACAATTAAATTTCACTTATCTGGCGTTGGAACTTATTGCTATGATTCTTCTGGAATCCCGATAGCTCGGTCCCAAGGTTGTTTACTTTTACAATTTCAGAACTGATTCTACGTTGACTTTTAATCTAAAGACGCACGACCAACCAATCACTTGGATTTTACGCTTAACGATTAACCATTAATCTCACATGCTCAATGGCATATAGTACAGTCGGACCTCCATATAACGAAGTCACTTAATAGTTCGTTATATGGAAAATGCGTTATATAGAGGTTCATCTTTCAATTTTCTTTATAAGCCACACAGAAAACAAATTTTTCATAAACACTATATACTTTAAAAAAAGTAACTTTTCACCCCCACCACTTTGAAATATAATAACATTTATTTTATATATTTTGCCTATCAGAAAAAAAGAAAAGAAAGAAAGACTGCACGAAAAGTTTCTTAACAACATTATCCACTTCCTGAAGAATTAAATTTTTTTCTTTGATGTTCAAGCACTTACGTTTTGATATTTTCGAGCTACAAGAAACGAAGTTATTAGTGCAATTGGTCAATGCTACATCGATACTAGTTTAATGACACGGCGATACGAGACAACTCCACTGAGGGTAAAAGGTGATATAGAACATGTTTCCACTGAACTGGACAATGGGGTTAAATCAGTGTTCCTCAAAGTGTGGGGCGCGCCCCCCTGGGGGCGCGATGACCCTACAAGGGGGGCGCGAGCGTATCGAAAATTTAAAGATGTTTTTTAAAAAAAATAACCGGAAAGAGAAGTAAAACAAAATGCTTTCTTCCATAATAAAAAAAATACACACAACAACACTGACATAATTTATGTTTATTATCTGGCTTTTTTCCGTCATCAAATAGCTATCTTTGATCCCAAAACCAAATTAAAGAAAAAAAAAACATTTTGTTTTATTTGCTGTATTTCCTCAATGAGAGATTTTTTTATTACGTTTTAACATAAAATATTACTCGTTAAAAGAAAAAACGATACCCAGACCCTGAGAAAAATTCTAAGATAAACAACTCACCACTGTAATTATTATTGAAATACTGTACATTAGTTGTAGA